TTATTAGAAAGCAGGGAAGCCCCAAAAGGTAACAAAGTGAAGGCAAGGTAAAAGTTGAAAAGAATATTGGAAAATATTTTCAGACACTGTTTTTAGAAAGTTAATGACTTCTACTTTGTTTCAAAAATAAGTTCTCAGGGTGCCTGGGTGGCTCAGTCAGTTAAGCATTGGTCCGACTCTTGATTTTGGCTCAGTTCATGATCTCATGGTTGGTGGGTTCGAGCCCCGAGCCTGGCTCTGCATTGACAGCCTGGGGCCTGCTTGGAATTCTCAATCCTTCTCTCTCTGCCCCTCCCCCACACGTGTGCATTCTCTCTCTCTCTCAACATAAATATACATTGAAAAATGTTTTTTAAGTTCTCAATACTACTTATTTCATTGTTTATTTATAATATTTATTGAGCTTACTTAAGCTTACGTATTCTTTTCTAAAAATATTTATTTATTTATTTATTTATTTATTTATTTATTTATTTATTTTTGAGAGAGAGAGAGCACAAGTGAGGGAGGAGCAGAAAGAGAGGGAGACACAGAACTGAAGCAGGGTCCAGGCTTCATGCTGTCAGCACAGAGCCCGATGCGGGGCTCAAACCCACGAATTGTGAGATCATGACCTGAAGTGAAGTCGGATGCTCAATCGACTGAGCCACCCAGGTGCTCTGGAGGTTATGAAGTCTTTCCTAAAGTGCATATTCAAGAAGTCGATGAGTATTAATCTCAAAACCAAAACTATGATAACAGATTTAATTGTAACTTACCATTAGCTTTTATTAAAGTTTACATTATGTGAAACCATGAGAAAAGTCAACCAAATTATAGAGTAAAATTTTATTCTCTAGAGTATTTGAACAATAAATCATTCTTCATAGCTGCCAATGATTCAGAGGTTCCTAAGGATATTGGGGTGGAGGGGTGCTAGTTATTAGGGCTTCTATTATTTAGACACTTCTGAATAAAATGAGTTTGTTGTGCTGATCTGAAAAATATCATCTGTATATTTGAATGAATGGTTTTCTCTCACTGGCTTAGTTTCTTTATTTTTAGGTGGGGATGGAAATATCTACTTTTTTCCTGGGGAGAGAATGTTGAGAGAATTTGTTTCTGTACAATGTAATATGAAATATGTTAAAGCCAATGAAATACACAGCCTATAATTCTTTCCTGGTATTCTTTTGGAATCACCATTATTTTTATGAAAATAAGTTTGTTAATACTTGAGCTGCTAATACTTAAGATGTGAGGAAGTCAGCTCAAGCTCAAAGTATTATGCGTTGCAAATCCAAAAACAATACACAGTAGACATTTCTGCAAATGTGAGTCCTGAATATTCTTGTTCACTCGAGGTCACTATACGCGGTCCCCTCCCTAACCCAGACAACTCAGTGAACAGTTTGCCTGTCTATACCTAAAAGGCAAGAGTTCTGGTTGTTGCTGGGTTTTTTCCTTGGCAGGAATACTTGGAAATTTTAAACAATTTAAATATCAACTGACTTATGTTCCCCTTACCCTTTCATGGAAATGTCAAGCATTCTTATTTTCAACACTAATGAACAACCACCAATTGTTTTAATTTCATTATTTTCTCAACTGAAAGAGTGCTTACAGAGCACAGAAATAGCGAGCCTTTCTTTTTATAGATCTCACTGTGAGCCTGAAACAAGTTTAGATCGAAAGACAAAAGAGAACTCAGATTTTTTTGCCCTGAATGTAATTCTCCTGATGAAGCTAGCCTTCTTCGGCCCCCAGTCGAAAAGATAGGACCCAAAGGGAAGGTTCAAAACCCAGGGCTTACAGAGTCCTCAGAAAGTCACTCAGATAATTTGCTTATCTCTCGGCAGGAACGAATTATGCTTGCTCTGTCAGAGATCTACCGAGATTCTTAAAAATAGCCAGAGGGAAGTTTTGCCACCTTAAAAGGTAACAAATTCTAGAAGTGATTATTTGGCTTTCTCTTCAGAGCCCAGGCACAGCATCCAGCACACCGCAGCACAAAACGTGGACTGTAATCATTTTGAAATTCAATCTAAACAGTGTGATTTGCTGACCAAACTCTTCCACTGCCTGCTACTCCCTCCACCAGAGGAATGTTAGAGATTTTGGAAATACCATTTGCCTTTCTAGCAGTACATTTCTATGTTAGCTCACTGAATAACATCCTCTAGATATGGATAAGTAAATGTGTCTTCCAAAAGGGTATTACTGTCTTGATTCTGAGGGATAGCTCAGGAGAACAAGGTTAAACATGTGGTCTGCGTTCCTGTATTAGAAAAATAGAATGAGCCAGACGTACCCTCAGCTCACACAGGGTTGTCTGCAAAGTGCATGTGGGGCGTCCACTGTGCAGCTATGTGGGCTGGTGCTGCCGAAATGATACCAAACTACCATCAGGGTCAGAGAGAGCAAGAGTGTGTGCCAAGTCTTTGCTCCATGTAGTTTGTTCTTTGGCTGCATCTTCCAATGCTTATGACTTTCTGGACACAAGAAAACACAGTAGAGATCTCCTAAGCATGTCTCCCTGTCACCTGAGCTTTTTTTCTAGAAGTTCTTGTTCAGAGATGGCCTGTCCTGGGCAATCAAGGAAAGAGCTAATCATCTTAACATTGCCATCTTATACTCACTGTGTTTAAAGTTCCTTCCTAATTTAGTTTAACTTTTATGATTTTATTTATGTGGAAAGAGCTTTGCTCACACCTATCTTCAGTGTGCTTGAGAGAACTGCGTACTTACCTACTTAATCTGTACTGATTATGGAACTCTCTTTCCTTCACTGCATTATATTCATTTTGATACTTGAGAAGTTGTTCTCTCATTTTCGAGACCTCGGTGGTGAGGGCCTCAGGAAAATTATCAGCTTGCTGCAGGTGAAATTGCTGCTGTTGTATTTGCTTGGTGAAACGTTTGGCATCCTGGAGCAGCTGGATCTCTGACTCCTGTGTGCTGGGTGCCGTGAAACAGAGATTCAAATAAAGAGAAAGGTGTACTTAAAAAATTTCTTTTAATGTTTTATTTATTTTTCAGAGAGAGAGAGAGAGGGAGATAGAGCGTGAGCAGAGGAGGGTCAGAGAAAGAGGGAGACACAGAATCTGAAGACAGGCTCCAGGCTCTGAGCTGTCAGCACAGAGCCCGACGCGGGGCTCAAACCTATGAACCGTGAGATCATGACCTGAGCTGAAGTCGGACGCTCAACCGACTGAGCCACCCAGGCACCCCGAGAAAGGTGTACTTTTAACACCCATAGGAACTCCCATGAGGATCTAGCAAGGAGTGGAGGGAGCATGTCTACACAGCTCCTAGTTCCTTCCATTCCTTGATTCAATTCAATTCAGTGATATGTTTGTGCCAAGTATTATAGTAGGTACTAGAGGTGAAAGGAACTCACAATCTAGCAAGGGGAACAGATGGAATAGAGAGCAGGGGTACCAGCTGGCAAATATTACCACTAGTGTGTAGATCAGGATGGTGGGTGAGACAGAGAAAGCATTGACTTGGATGGGAATATGGTATTTTTATTTGGCTTTGAAGAACAATCATGACTTCCCAGACTGGGGCGGAAATGGGGGGGGGGTGGATAATAAGGAGAAGAGTGGGTCCTCCCTTCAACTGCTGCTGCAATGCTAGCTCTAATTCCTGAATTCTCCTGACCTAACTGTAGGAAGATCTTTTCCTCCTTAATGAACTAAGAAACAATGAAGTTTTCTAACAACACTTTACTTAGAAACTAGGAAGAAAAAGTTTCCTATAAAATTATGGACATATACTACCCTACAGATTTCTAATCCTATCTTCAATGTCTTGCTAGGGCCCGACTTGAATGTCACAGTTGAGGGGGATTCCCTATCTATGTCATGTCCCTATATTGGAAAAAGGGTTAAATACCTGGCAAGAAGTAGACTTGAATGGACACAGAGACTGGACTTGGTGAAATCTTCTAAAACTCATCCATCTGTCTTGCAAGCTAGCATCAGCTACAGCCTTACCAGCAGACTTGATTCATGCATCCCAAAAATCCAACTGCCTCACATTAGCTATCTCTCCCGTTTGGAAGCAAGACCTTACCGGTGCCATTTCTGGTTTTAAAGCCAGCATGCCTCTTTGGTGCACACCCTCGCAAGGATCCTTGCCATGAGAAATCTTCAGGTTTCTCCTCATTTGCAGAGATGCCCAATGACTTGACGAAGGCTGTCTCATCTAAAGTTACCTGGTCCACCCATTTCTTCTAACGTTAATATGTCACTTGCTCAATAACATCCAGCAAAACATTTACTGGGACATAATATGTCCCAGGCACTAGGTTAGGTACCAAAAACTAACACAGCTATAGCGATAACACATATAATCTCTGTTAATGAAAGCTGGAGTTATTTCTTACAGTTCAGCTTCATCTTAATATATTTGGTAAATCCAAAGTGGCTTGATCTCCTTAACATGAGCGTTCAACTGTGGAGCTGTGAAGGGTTGTTGGTTTGTGCCACAGTGCCTGATTTCCCCCAGAAAGAAGGTGGACAAGGTGGTTAGGGCTCCAGCCAGAACAGAAATGGTAATTTGCCCACATGGATTTGGACTATAATGTCAGCAGAAGAGAACCGAACAACTTTTATAACGTGGTTCCTATGCAAAGCTCATTGAGTTTCAGTTCAGCGTTTCCAGGCTCCTTGTGCCCTTCCACAGCCCCAGCAGCAAGAACGGAGTCGATGGCTTCATGCCTTTCTCATCCCCCAGGCAGGAGGAATGGGAGAGGGAGGTGGGTGTTTGTCATCACAAGAGGGAACTAAAGGGTCAAGAGGAGGTAAAATGTGGGTAGAAGAAGGGAAGTAATGGTTTTGCAACACAACCTGGAAGTAGGAAGAAGTAACCAAAGCCATAGCCTTGGTCCTAGATGGCTGGCTGTCACTGGGGCCTGAGCAAGGAGGAAGCTGAATCAGCACCCCACAAGGCTTTCTGGGCTGGGCTCTTGATTAGAACTCTCTGGAGGGTGAGAAGTGTTGCAGTAGGACTTGTATCGGGAAAGAGGCTTGGAGGGATGTCCTGGGAACTGCACGGATTCCTCCCCGCCCCCCACGTAAGCAGTGTGAAGTATGTTGAAAAAGATTAGCAAGACTTTCCATCTAAATCCTCCAAGTTCCTGTGTCTTGAGAACTATGTGTCTACACTGGCAGTTGAGGCCAGTTGTAGGAAATGGAGGGACGAGGGTGAGGAGTTAGCTTGAGGCTGGCACAGAGGAAGAGGAGCCAGAGCTGGAGTATTGTTAGGAAACTGGAGGGGGTGAAAGTGAAGGGTGCATAGAGATGGAACTCTGTTCTTCTCCTAGTGCTTCACTTCTGCCTCATGCTCCCTTCCTCAAAGGAGCAAAATGACTCTGGGCAGGAAAAGAAGTAGGGCTAATGTTTGGATATTGGGGGACAGGATGGATGGAGAATGACAGGAGGAGTTTCTATCCATTGCTGCCTCTCCTTGGCTTTTGATGAAGGCAGCACACCAGGTTATGAGGAAGAGGTTACGGGGAAAAGGAAGAATGAGGCTGCGGAGTAGTAAGGAGGAGCAGCAGAACAGGATTTCCCTTCCTTCTTCACTCTCCTTCCCCCTTGATTCCCACTGGCTGATAGCAGGTGCTTAGGAAGCTTTGTGGAATTGTCCTGTGGAAGCCTGTTCTTCTCACATGCTGCTGATCATGACTCGGATAAAGAGAATGGCCTAGGGGAGGAGGAAGAGGTGAGACAACTGAAGTCTCAGCAGATGGAGCCTGGGGTTGTGCTAGTGTGTGATGGGGAAGCAAGAGACGGGGAGCACAGAATGCTACAGGAGTGCCCTGTAATAGATAATGTCAGTGCTTTACCAGCTGAACCACTTTCCCTTGGCCCACTCTGGGGGTCATCTGTGGCTTTGGTGGACAGTTAGGACCGACAGAGCTGTGTGCCTCTGCCTGAGAGCTTTCTCTAGCCATAGCAACTTGGCTTCTCAAAAGGCATGCTAGAAGTGCTAGGGGCTTCTCTCCCTAGGAGTAATCCTTGATCAACGATGGATGGAAATTAGTGGACAAATGTCCCAGTTTCCTTACCCTTCAGTGGGAGAGTTCTGAGGCGTGCTCTACACACTCATATGGTCCTCAGTGAGACTGGGCACCAGTTGGCCACAGTGTTAACCTGCAGATTAACACACCCCTGGCTGGATTCCTCCCTCCCCCATCTCACTTCCCCATTCTCCCACCATAATTTCTGGTATCACTTCTCAAAGTACTTGAACTCAAACCTTTGCCCCAGTGCTTGCTTTGGGGAGAATAAAAAACAAGCTAGGTCTCATCACAGAAAACAAATATAAATATGATAAAAGATGTCTCCACATCCGCAAATAGCATACCTTATCACGGTATCATGTAGCAAGGTGTACTTGGCCTTTAACTCTGCCATTCTGGTTCCGGGAAGTTTTCCCATAGCATGTAACTAGCAGAGAGAACACAAGGTCATGATTAGGCGTCACCCTCCTTATGCTTAAGGCAGAGATAAAATGGATATATGGATATCTTATAAGATCTCTCCAGTCAACATTAGAGAGGAAACACGCCAGGCAGGTGGTGTACTACAAAAACACTGGGTGTTTGGAGATAATAGTTCTAGTTCTCTTATGCCTTCAGTAAGCTGGAGGTTCCCAGGCGATGCTCTTACCTCTCTAGATGATGATTTCTTCATCTGTAAATTGAGGGAAGGAATTGAGTTAAGTTCTTCCAATTCTAAGAAAACATATTTCTACGTTTAGCAAACAGCCTGAATAGTGTAGATGTAAGTTTAAAACTTATATGACAGTTTGTAAGTTGAGAGACCTAATAAACTATTAGTAATAGCTGAGCATCTATTACAAGCAAGTGTTGTATATCAGTTATTTCAATGTCAAAGATGTTTTGTGAAGTAGGGATTGCCTCCATTTTAAAGTGAAGTTTAGAAAGATAAGTGATTTGTGTCAAAGTTACAGAGCTAGTTAAAGGCAGTGTCAGGATGTAAACCCAAGTGGTCCAGCCCTGAGAACCCACGACCGCTCCCCTGTACCAAAACCTCTCTGCCTCTACTGCCAAAAAAGTATGAGAGTTTATTTGGTACATAAAGTGCTATTATCTGTTCCTTTTTCATTTCGGGTAAAAGAATGATCAGAATTAGATGATTAATAGTAATGGACATCACAACGCAGCACGGAACACTGAAGTTTTACCACAATGTAGTGAACATTCGTATTAGGTTTACCTCAGCTGCTACTGATGTAGTATCAGAAAATGGAACTAAAGGAAAGATTTGTGTTTATCAACGCCTTGTGGTTCTTACCTCCAAAATATTTGCTGAATCCATCCATTCCCTTCTCCTTTCCCTGGTCCCGCTAGTCCAAGTGACATCCCATGAGAACAAAACCTCCACTGGCCCCTTTGCCTTCCCTGTGTCCACTTAGGGCCTTGTCTGTCTACTTTCAGGGAGAATTAAAAAAAAAAAAATCAAACAAGGTTTTGCTATGCTGGGTGTCCAAAATGCAAGTGAAATAGAATTAAAGACCCGGGGTGTGAGCCCTGAGGCGCTGTGTGACCCTGCTACTACCTTCCAGTCTCCTTTTCCAGCCTGCTTCTCAAGCTCTTAGTGCTCTAGCCACACCGGCTGCCTTTTATTTCTCTAATTGCACAAGTTGCTTTCCTCCTCTAGAGCCTGTGTGCTGGTCATTCCTCGCTCTTCCTTGGCTTCACCTCTATTCTTTCTTCATACCTCAGCTTAAATACCCATCTATAATCAGGCCTTCTCTCACTTCTAAATTAAGATAGATACCCACACACACCACTCACCCCAAAAGAATGCTGTACTTAACAACAGATGACATATTGCAATCTGTAGTAATAAATATATGTGACTAAAGAAATGTTACTTCTCAACTCGTATATAAGCACCATGAAGAAAGGGCCTAGGTTAGCCTGTTCTTCACTGAATCCTCAGCCAGCACAACCCCAGGCAGGGTGTAGGTGCTTGGCAAACATGTGCTGCATGAGCGAATGAATGAGTGTGGCTGACAAAATGTGACAGTCTGAGTCTCCACGGTAAGGTTTCATGGTCTCTCTACCCAAATCAGGGTAGAAAAAACATTGTTAAATGAGCTATGAAACCCTCCCTTTTTTGTGAAACTGGGAAAGGCACCTACAAGCTGGTACCAGACCTGGGTTCCAATCCTCACAACCCTCATTTTCTATATATAGGTAAACGTGTAAACAAGATTTTTAAAAAAGTTTTTATTTAAATTCCAGTTAGTTAACATACAGCATAATATTAATTTCAGGTGTACAATTTAGTGATTCAGTACTTCCCTTCAACAACCTATGCTCAACCCAAGTGTCCTCCTTAATCCCCATCACCTTTCAAACTTATCCCCTCTGGTGATCATCAGTTTGTTCTCTGTAGCTAAGAGTCTGTTTCTTGGTTTTCCTAGCTCTCTTTTCCCTTTGCTTAGTTGTTTTGTTTCTTAAATTCCATGTATGAGTGAAATCATATGGTATTTGTCTTTCTCTGACTGACTTATTTTGCTGAGCATAATACTTTCTAGCTCCTTCCATGTTGTTGCAAATGGCAAGTTTTCATTTTTTTATGGCTGAGTAACATTCCATTGTGTGTTTGTGTGTGTGTGTGTGTATACACACCACACCATATCTTCTTTATCCATTCACCAGTTGATGGACATTTAGGCTTTTTCCATACTTTGGCTATTGTCAATAGAACTGCTGTAAACATCAGGGTGAATGTGTCTCTTTGAATTAGTAATTTTGTATCCTTTAGGTAAGTACCTAGTATTGCAATCACTGATCAAGGATAGTTCAATTTTTAACTTTCTGAGGAAGCTCCATCCTGGGTAAACAAGATTTTTAAGCCCTTTGAGGAAGTTCTACTTCTCACTATATCAAGTATCTTAAAATGTATTCATATGCTGCCTTAAATATAATTTGCATGTAACTTAAGTGTTGAGTTGCTGTCCATAGGTTGGCCTAATGTTACATTTTATAGATATTTAATTAAACACATTTATTTTGGTTCTTCAGTTTTCTTTCTGTATTTTTGAGTTAATATGTAACTTACTTCAGATTCCAAGTATTTTCATTGGTTCCTAAAAACAGTGTAGGACATAGGTACTGTCCGTGCCTTTAAGGTCTAATATATTAAAAAAAAAGAAAAAACAACAACTGCAGAGGGGCACTCTTAAGGGAGAAGAATTACTGGGAAAAAGTTATGAAAGGGTAAGTGTGTGAATGTGTGTTTGCATGTCTATGTGTGTGATATGAAGACCATGTGGGGGCCAGCCTTGTCATTAGTCAACTGGGTAAGCCATTGGGTAAGGTAATTATGGACTCCTATGTTTAAAAACAAATATAGTATTTATAGTTTTGTTTTCAAGCTGAAAAGTTTTACCTCTCACCCACTGCCCTGCATGATGGAAGCAGAAGTAAATATGACATGGCTCTTACCCTAAAGTAGCTCACAGTCTGAGAAGATAGACACAAAAGAAATTACATAACAGTTACACTATGCACACTCGTTTTATTGGTAGCAAATAACTACATTTTAACTACGTTTGGTATTTGCAGTCATTTCTTTGATATCAGAAGTTAAAGCAAATAAGTAAAATTATAAATTACAGACCACTTCCGGGGGATGGAACTTCCAGAATGGTCACGCGTAGGGATTGATGAATCAATCCTCTCCCTCAAAGAAACAATTAATCTCACCAAAATTATCTAACACAGCCATTTGAAGTCCCTGGAAACTAACCTACGGGCACGCAAAAACTTTACATGTATGTATTTAACAAGAATCTGAAACTCGGTAAGAACAGTGGAAACGGTGGCATATGAACCATGAACTGCCTCCATGGCCCCTTGGTCCATGTTGTGGCAGAACTAATCCGGGCGGGCTTGCCTGGCAGTAAAGAGCCTGCATCTCCCCCACCTTCTTGCTGCTAAGGACCTGTTCAGGTGGGCGGGGCAAGGTTAAAAATAGAAAGGCAAGCATCTCTACATCAGAGACATCAGAGACTGTGCACTAAGGGGGAGAT